CGAATAGTAAGCCTTTCTCTTCTTTTCCATTCTTTATGAATTACTCTCGCTCTCTGTCCTTCGTTTGGCCTTCCCCATTCCCAGTTCTGTTGGGATTTCCTTTGTCCTTTGGTTAAGTCCGTTTTGTGTTTTTGCTGGCCCCCACGTTTGTACATTATGCAAGTTATTTTCGCAACCTTGTGGAAAAATATGAAATCAGCGAAATATATTTATGACTTATTTTGTTAAAAGGACAAAGGAACGCCCAACCCGCAGAGACAAGCAGAGAAACCAAGAAAATGAAAGTCGATGGAGTTGGGCTTAGCAAATGAAAGCGAATTCTGTGGCCAAGAGTGGAGTGGATTGCCAGAGATTAGGATACTTAAAATATGGCCTATCCCCCTTGGTTCATGAGTGAATAAAAAAATGACACAATATAAGTTACAGCGGAAATAACTCTATAAAGAAAGGGAATTACATTTTCTAGTAGTTTTCTTCAAAATTCAAAATTTGTGGTTTAATATTTTCTGTTCGGATTTTCGACTGCTTTGACCCTTTATGCATGTCAGTGGGTGTCAGGGCAGTGGGATCTGGTCCCTCTACACTTTCTATACTCTTATAACCTTAAGTGTTGTGTTGCTTTAAAGGCATTCTTGTATTCTTAACTTCAAATAAAATTATTCAATCTATCAGCAGGTCTACATACAATTTATATAGTTTATGGCAACATCAAATAATTAAACTGTTTAATGGAAAACTTTATCCAATATTCAGCTGTCTAGATGAATATTTCTAAAAAGAGTAGAAAGAATTTCGGCTGATGATTTTCTAATCCCTTGTCACATTTTCGATTTGCTTGTTTTATCTTTCCGTGTGTGTGGAGAGAGAGGCTGAATACAAAGTTTTTTCAATCATTCACTGATAGATTTTTTTTTGTTGCTGGTGTTTTGCTCCATGGCCGTTGGTGTTGGGACTTTATGGCTGCCCTATATATGTGTGTGTGTGTGTGTGTGTGTGTGTGTGTGCGTGTGTGTATTTAAAGTGTTGTAAATATTTGCTTTAGAACAATGTTTGCACTCGGTTGGAAATTTGCAACCATTTTTTATGAACCCAAAACCCCCGGAGTTTTTGTGCATCCTTTGCTTGGATCCGAAGCGGGTGGCATGATTTGGATTTGTCGGCGTGGGTTTATTTATTATGTTATAGCGGTACTGTGACGGGGATTTAGTGGAGCGATATTTGGTTTAGCCCGCTAAACAAATATTGTATGAGACGCGCGAATGTTTTCTGCAAAAGTAATTGCACTCAATCGCACATGGAATATTTACGAATCGAAATGTCGGAGTTCAAGTTTTAGATCGACCCTGCCACGGTGCACAGTGCACACAGTTTAATTGAGTTGGTGCTGGGGCTGGGTGGGAGTCGGGCGGATGAGCCTTGGACAGGACTTAATTGAATTTTCGCTAATCCAATAGATTAAGGAGCAGCAGCAGCAGCAAGGCTGCTCTGTTGGCTGTAATGCAATGCAAAAACAATAACAAAATTATGCTGGCCAACAGCAGTGACAGCTGACAAGGCTAAGCCTCGTCCCAGTGGGTCCAGCAAGATGACCTCAAGAGTGCAGCCAAAGTATCGCCAAGAAAGGAACAAGTCCCAGAGTCACAGCCGCACTCTCCACGGGCCTGGATGCTGTCTCCAAGGACGGCATCAGTGTCTTTGCAGGGGCATAGTTTTCTTTCATCTTTCACTCCCCATTGTTTGCGGACATTTTTCTTGAATATTTCAGCACTTCTCCTAGTTTAATTAGCCCTGCCCGGACTCCACTAAATATGCCCACCAAACTGAATTTAAATCATGCATAAATTAGTACATTTTCGGCACACTCGTGCACAGTTTCCGAGCGAGTCACATTTGCTTAGCGCATTTTCAGGGGCCATAACTAATTATATGTTGACATGACATTTATTTGACTTGCATAAATTAGGCAATTAGTTGATGAACGTTAATTAAGTTTCTGGAAAATCGCTATGCCAGGTGTTGAGCTGTGAGCGGAAGGAGCAGCCGGATAAGTACGGTTGCCGGAGTGATGAACACAACGAAAATACTACGAAAATAATTATGCACGAGTAACTGCATCATTTTAAGAACTTGTCTAATGTTGTTCAATGTTCTCTATTATTTTGTATATATAGCAATCAGTCTCCTTCGGCTTTATTCATTCCAGAGAATGCTTCAAGTGTGCAAAATATAATTATAGACTGAGTGGAAATATAATATCTACTTATAGATGAATCATCTCGAGTGTATGAGAATAAAGCAACTTTTTCGCGTACGTTTTATCGACAGCACACGACCAAAAGGTGAACAACGATGGACACACAACATTTTCAACACATTGTGGCTTCGTGGCAGGATCCCACATTGAACTCTCTCTCCGGACAGCGTGGCGTACGCGCAATAAAGGAATGGTAGCCAAAAGCCAGGCAAAAGTATGGGTTGAGTGCAACCGACGGGGTTGCAGTGGGGAGGACAGTTGGGTGACGCTTGTCATCATTAGATTAGAGTGCCACCAACAGAGCGAAAGAGAGAGAGAGAGAGAGAGAGAGAGAGAGGAACCGATATGTAGAAAGAGAGGCAAGTATCCCATACATACAAAATCGCACACAAAGAGACAGAGACAGAGACACAGAGACGAAAATTAAACTATGGGGCGTTGCCTTGTTAGGATGTGCGTTAAATTGTAAAACAACAGAGTTGGGGGGAACGAGGACGAGGATGAGGATGAGGATGGAGGTCGCGTGGGTGTGTCAGTGGTGGCAATGTACTACAGGACTACAGGACTGCACCCATCTGGCCAGTGTTATCCTGGCTGTCATGCTGTGGCCAGTTCTCGTTTATTTTGCGTATTAGACGCTGCTATTTTGTGCTTATTGTTCCCAGTCAGTCCCCTCTCTCTACCTCTCTCTACCCCTATCTGTGTATCCCCACCTCTCACTCACTCTGCTTCGATCCCTCTCTGGCTGTCTGCCCGTGCAGGGTTGGGTTTTCTGGATGTCGCTACTTTAGCACCCATTCCGTGTCCTGTTATTTTTCGCTTGTTTGGTTTCTTTGGTGTTCCATTGTCAGCTCATTTGTAATTTTTGGCACAACGATTTCAAATTAAGCAACCGGAAATGAGCTGACATTTTGTATTGCTGCTGCTGCTCCTTCTGTCGCTTGTGTAGCTTCTGCCGCTGCTGTTGTTCGTTTCCATTTCGTTCCACGCTTCTATCGTTTGCCAGCTTAAGGGCACTTTTGTGGCATATCATCATCATTGAGTTGTCCTTTAAGGACACACACACAGTGAGATCTGCATGCAAGTTGTGCTGTCTATTATTATGACAATATTAATATTTACATTTTAGAGTTATTGTCTAGCCAGAGCCATCCTTTTCCACATACCACAAACTATCCATCTCCTTCGCTCTCTGCTCCCTGTCACTCCTTCTCTTTCTCACCCTTGGTGCACATGTATCCTTTCTCCATTCTGTTTTGTTCTATTTTGTTTTGTTTTGCCGCTTGCTGGCTTGTTTGCTGGCTCGTGTGCATTTGTTGTGTTTTCTTGCATATTGCTCCATGCCTCACCCGCTGCCTTTGTCCACACTCTCATCCTGTTTATTCTTGTCAATATGGTTTCCATTTGGTATGTTGTGCATTACTTCCGTTACATGTTAACCACTTTATCCCATGTCCATTAAATTATGTTTCTTTGTGGCTTGTTCTGCTCACAATTCAACTTTTCTACATCTCCAGTGGCACGCTCTGAAAAGTAAAAGTACTTCCATATTTTTAACAGCGCTGTTAAACCGTTCTCAAGCTTGCTTACATTTCTACATTTTGCCCTCTGTTAACTGTAAATTTCCCTTTGCCTTTTTACAGTTCGAAACGGAGAGCTTTTACCGTTGACTCTCAGTCAGCTGCTTCGCCTTGCTGGCTGACTTTTGCTCTCCTTCAGTGACAAACAGCAACACTTCGGCTCGGGTTTCGTCAAGCTGCGAGTGGCCTCTCGCTGGCTGCCCACCCGATGACAGCCGAATGCTTTCGATTCTGCGGCCCCCTGCTGCCGGCTTCAACATCGTTGCACGGCTGCTGCTGCTGCTGCTGCTGCTGGGACTCCGGTTAGGGCCGACAGCTTCCTGCCGCTGATGCTTCAGTTACGTTGATAATGTCAAATCGTTTGGTTCGCTGTGCTGCTGCCGCTCACGAGGACTACGAACACGACCAGTATCAGGAGCAGGACCAGGACGACAACGACAACAACGGCTCCCTGGCAGAGACAAGGCCCACGAGGACGGTAGTGACGGGGACGACGGCCAACGAGTAAATAAATTAAGCGACGAGCAACAGCAAAGTAAATAATACGAGCAGCACAAAACAAAGTAAACCAAATGAATTAGCAATCCATAAACAAGTTCGCAATCTAAATACGAACAGCAAACAAAACCCACAACTACGACTACGACTGCAACTGCCGGCTAAAAACGTAAAAAGTGTCAGAATTTGTGAAAATTAATATTTCACCAGAGATTTGAGTGCTTGAGTGCAAACAAACAAAACAAACCCGAAAAATACCGAACAAAAACACAGAACAAACCAAACAGCAGAACACAAAACACTGAACAGAGAACCAGAGAACACAGAAGCTAAAGCTGAAGCTGAAGCCGAAACAGGGCAAACTTTTCATTTTACAAAAGTTTTATTTTACACACTTTTTCCACCCAGTTCCCGTACTCGCGTAAAATTATGAAAAATATGTGAAAAAATGTGCAGAATCCACAATATTCTCATACGAGGAGAGCAGCAACAAAGGCAACACAAACAGCAACAACATTAGCCGGGAGGCCCCTGACATAGGTCCAGCCACTCGGAGCGGTGCGGGAAATTTTTCTGGTCCGTACCGACAATCCCCTGACGTTTCCTTTCCACTCTGTGTGTGTGCCAGTGACAGTGTTCGTGCCAGTGTGCGGGCCAAGTAGTGCGGGAATCCCTGTAACGTGCTAAAATTAGCTAATTTATTGCCCAGACTACAACAATCACAACCAACAAGAAAACCAACAGAAACCGTAACAGAAACAACAAATCCTTGGCAGTCATAACATTTGCCGTGCTGCTGTTCCATGCCCCAAAGGTAAGTTGAGATCCTGTAAATTCGGCTTGTCTGAGTTTAGGTTTCCTTTACAGAAACATAGTTGAAAGTTTGCGGCTAAAAGGGGTAAAGTGATGCTGTGCGAAGGGTTATGAAAGTATCTGATTCGCTTGAGAAAAACGAACTATTAATTAATTATTAATTATAACAAAAGCATTTAGCTATTGAAAGTCGAATATCTGAAGTCGAACAACAGTTTATTTTTAAGGAAATATTCAGATTCAGATTCATTGAAATTTGGGCAAACGAAACTTTCTTTCATATTATTTAATCCAGTATTGGCAGCTGTGCCCATTCCTTAGTCAATTTAAAGAATCTGGCACAGGACTTTTCACACTTTCCGTGACTTGAGTACACCTTCGGATAGCATTTGTCTCCCGCTTGTAGGGTCAAACATTTGCCATTGCCAAAATAAAACTTTGGCTTTTTCGCATCGTAATTGTGACAATTATTGCCAGTCGAGGCCGAAGCAGTCAACGGCATAAAGCAAAAACATTCATTGCATTCGTAGAGGCCAGAAGCTGGAATCACAATTAAAATCCGAAAATTGTGAGCAACTTATTTATATTTTTAACAAAAATTACCCATCTGCAGTAGAATTAGCAGTGCTAGAACTAGTAATGCAGTCATTGCAGTTGAGGAAATGGCAGCCACTAACAAAAAAAGATTTTAATTGTTAATTAGACAAGCTGAAGTGGCAATCATTAGTCACACTCTGACACGCTTTTCTCCATCGGACTCATTCAATTCGAGTCTCTGGAGACAGCAAAATGTGCCAAGCTTTTCTGTAAGTTTTCTATAAATATTTTGAGCAAAGTTATTCTAAAACAAAGTTCAGTGTATTAGCTCTCTTAATTGTGTGTGAAACCAGCTTGACACATCAACTGAAACATGAATTTCCCTTTATGGAAAGGGGCAAGGGATGTGCACGAATCAATAAGACAGTTCCAGCCGTAAGTTTCATACATACAACACCACAAGCAGAATACATTCTCAAGATTTTGAATAGCCCCAGTTGGGCAGCGAGCTTTGGATCATTACCAGATGGATGGTGCATCAAGAAATGAAACCATTTAGATGCTTTCAGGATGATTTTCCACCAGATATACCCATAGACACCCATCAAAGCGTTTTTCTGGGCACTGACAATAACACATTTGCCGTTCATTTAATTTGCTTAGATGGAACTTCCTCGGAACAAAAAGATGACAATCATTATTGTAAGTAGAGGCAATGGCAGATGTCCTGTTTATAGTTATTTAAATGCTTAACAAATTTCGCTTAGATTTGGTTCAGACATACTCAACAGAGAAACATCCTGCAAAGTCCACCATGAATAAAATAAGAAAGATTCATGTGGAACATGGGCTGAAAAGGAAGTGGTTAAGAGGATGTCATTAAAAATAAATGGTTATAACATTTAACAGCTTTTATGGTCTTCGGGATTTGTTGAGTTAAAATATAAATATATAAAAGAAAGCAATTGCATTAGAATTTAAATGGATTTATGTGACTAAAACAAGTGGCAAAAACTGTGAATATTTCGTTACGCGTTTCTAGAGAGTTTCAAAAATAGTGTTTAATTGAGTTGTCGCCTTCAACTCTCTTTCTAAAAAGATATACGCCCCAAAAGCTATGACTGACATATATAGGTACTCCTCGTAACCAGATAGATTGGAATATTCTCACACGTATTTGGTTTTGTGTGTTATTTTTTCACTGTTTTTGGTAGTCTTTTCCAACGCAAAACCAAAACAAGCCATTTTCAGATTTTTCCCGTTTTGTATTCTGTTGGTTCGCTGGCTAACAAAAGTTCGAATGTTAAATGATTTTCAGGGCGGAAACTTTGACATCCCTGAAAATGGAAGCAAGCCATTTGTTAGGCTGTCAGGCGACAAAAGAACGGCGCGCAAAAAAAGAGCATCTCTGTGTGACACGTGAATTTATTGCAGTCAAAAATATGAAAAGTTCCATCAAAAGTGCAACAACAGGCAGGACAACCATGACGAGTGGGCGGGCGGGGCAGCAGGAATTGAGTTGTCACCTCTGCCATGGCTAGTAGAAGGGTCCAAAACAGCCCCACTCGTAGCAGCAGCCGCACCTGTTGGGCACATAATAGAAGGGCGGGGCACAGCTGCAGGTGCAGCCGCCGTTGCAGCAGATGCACTGCATGCAGGGCAGCACGGGTCCGACCGGACCGCTCGTCAGCTCGTAAGAGATCATGGCACACGGCTGCTGGCAACAGCAACAGTCGCGAGAGGGTGCACATGGTCCACAGCCTCCACAGCCTCCACAGCCTCCACAGGGTCTGCATCCTTCACTGGGCTTGCATCCTCCACAGGGTCCGCTGCTGCAGGGCTTGCAGGGTGCACGGCATTGAGGCGGCCAACAGCTCATTTTAAATGTTGACTTTTTCCGTGACTAAAAGAAGGACCTCTGGCAACCTGTTGCTCGCTCTTTTGCAAAAGACTTGGCGCAAAAAATGTGCTAAATATGCCGGGCTAATTGGCCGCAGAAGTGGCAGATAAAGCACCTTTCCTTCGCTTCGCTTTTGCAAAATCCGCTCCAAAATTTGGTCAATATTTTTCCAATAGGTTGTTGTTGTCAATGGAAATGAGAACAAAAGCAAAGCATTGTCGAGAGCAGCCCGAATCAAAATTTCCAGCCAGCGTAACAATTACATTTCATTTAAAATTCCATTTACCCTGTGGTCCCATATTTGGTTTATTCAGGATATGAATATCTTAACCAAAACCACACGACTCCGCTGCACCTCAGTTGTAGGACTATTTGCAGCAGACGAGGCGTGGCTTGGTCTGGTCGGGTACTCTGGTTTTAGTGCCCCAGCCGCCTGCTCCTCCCATGCAGCTCCCATGACTGGCATTCGGTCACTGTGGCTAATGTAATTGATTGTCTGAGGTTGGCCGGACAGGGACTAGAGCTGAGTGTGTGGCAGCTAAGCGTACGAGAAAAAAACGTTGTTAACGGTTCGTTATGTGAGTGGGAGAGAGAGACATTTGCATGCCAAACAGTGGGTCACATGCGAGAGTTTCGCAGAGGAAGATGCACGGGTTAAATGAACAAATGAAAATTGATTAATAGAGTAAACGTGTGGCATAGTAGTGCACTTGAAATGTGAGATACACAGCTTGATTTGCTCCACTGTATATCGCACTTGCTCCGAGTTTTTTCTTGACTGCCACATTAATCCTCTGTCCGCCAACTTCGTTCCACTTTTGGGCAGACTAACGAAACGTTCTTCGACCCCAAAAGGTTGGCGTCGACCAGACTGTCAACAGCTGTCCAACTGAGAGCTTGGACTGCTCTCTGTCCCCACTTCAGTTCGTTTCCCATCTCAGACCTAGTTAGACCTCAGTTCTCGATTTTGTGCTAACTCCCGGCGGTAACCGAAAAAACACACAGGAGAAAAAAACCTCAAAGCTCCAAGATGTGCGGTGGATGGGCTTGTTGTTCCTACGGCATGGCCTGCTGCAATGGTCCATTGTCGACAATGCGCTACACGGGACGATGCTTCGCCCCAACGCCTTGCGGTGCCTGCGACAATTGTTCGTCCTGTTGTGGCGGCGGGTGCTGTGGCGGCGGGTGCTGCTGGTAGAGCTGGCTCAGAATCGAGTGGTAAGTAATTAACATCAGAGAGGTTGTGGGGGTCAGCCTTATTCGGTATCTCCATCATCCTGTAGGCTTTGAATATTTATTCTGCCACCCGACACACAATGACGTTGGGACCTAGGCTGAAACAGGCAGTCTGAGTCCGGTCGTTGTCATCGCAATATCTAACGTTCTTTACCTGGTGAGTTTTTTCAGATTTGTTTCCTTAAAAAATATATTCTCAACCGGAAGTTTCCTCGCGTAGTTCCGTTCTCAACCCCATAGCCAAGATGTGTGGCGGCTGGGCCTGTGCCTCGTACAATCTGGCATGCAACAATCCTCCTCTGTCTACTCTGCGCTTCACCGGCAGAGACTTTGTGCCGACACCTTGCGGACCCTGCGACAAGTGTTGGGTGCGTGACACCAGTCGCCAGAACTCCAACAACTGCTATGTGCCACACAACATAGCGCCACCCTGCCCACCAGAAAATGGAGGACCGGCCGGAACATCTAAAGTTTCCGAATGCAACTGATGGACTCAAGACAAAATAGATTTACATATTCATAGCTTCATTATGAACAAATAAAATTCAGAGTACTATTTAAACGGTTCTTTATTTGGGAAGAGTTATCAGGGGTCATGAATGTTCTTCAACTCTTTGTGCTAAATTCTTGCATCTATTTGCAGCTCCAACTAAGAAAAAATGCAATCTAAATCGAGTAATTTTCAAGACATTATAATTTATTGTAAAGCTGTATAAAAGCAACAAACAAAATCTTCGCTCCTCTAGTTCTGCAAGGTGTTTCGACTTCGTTTTGCTCCGCTTCGAGTCTCCTCAGTAGTAGGGTCCAAAGCATCCATACTCGCCGCAGCCACAGCAGCGGTTGGGCGGACAGGTCCAGGGCCCGCAGGGTGGGCAGGGACCACAGCAGCAGTTGCTGTAGTTCATTGCGGGCAGGGCGGGACCCACTGGACCGTAGGCCAGGGCATACGACACCGAACCACAGGCAGTATTACACATCTTTCAGGAGGAAACTAAAGAAAAAAGAAGCGATTAACTGGAGCCCGAATAATTTTGATAAATACAAAAATTTACACTTTGCCGTTTGCTAAAAATCGTTCGAAAAGATTCGAAAAGTTTTTGGGAGCAAAGAATTTTTTTGTTTGCTTTTATATTTTAGACGACAATTTCAGGAGATGTTTACGGCACGAGAGACTAAACTAATATGAGAATGCTCTAAACACAGCTTATGTTTATGGGCTTCCATCTCGAGGCACTCTTGATGTGAAAAATTTAAAAAACAAAAAGGGTATCCGAAATGTTGGGGAATCTGCCTTGAAAATCGATCAAAGTCAAGTTGTTGTTGTTGTTGCTGGTTCTCAGTTCCTGGCGGAGTAGAAATTTCACACATCAATGATTTAACATCGGAGCGACCGACAAATACAAAAAAATTGAATTTCTCTAGCGACAAAACAGCAGCGCAACAGTTTCAGCCCTCTGGCAAAAATAAGAAATCATTGAAACATGTCTAAAAAAAAAGGGAGAAAAATAAGTACTGAGAGTGTGTAGGGGGACACCAGTAAAATGGGCGAGGAAGGGTGAAGTGGATGCCAAAGGATTTTCGTAGGACCTGCTCTAAACTGGGGGAAAAGTCGATGTCGATGTCGGGTTCGAGTTCGAGGCAGACATGAAAGTCTATTAGACTCAACGAAGCAACCTTAACGTCATTTTCCAGCTTCCTTCAGTTTGAGGGAGGTCCATGAGGTGATTGCGGGACAGGATATGTGTACGTACGTATGTGGGACCTCGGCGTGTCTGTGTGGGTGCTGTGATTCACAAAAGCTGACAAGCTCATCGATCCCTGAACATTAGCTAAACATAAATTACACAGATGGCTGCACAACAATTGAGGCGTTTATTATAATGTGTGTTCACACTTGAGGCTTTCAAAAGATGCATTCAAGGCGATAGCAAGGCATCGTGGGGTGGGGCGGGGTGTTTTTAAAAGAGGCAGAGATGAATGTACACAAGTGAAAAGATGGCAGACTCGTCTTTAGCAGACGAAAAAAATTAATGTAAATTAAGGCCAGACAAGCATTTTTGGTAAATTCTCATTTATCTAGATATTTAAATATTGTCAGAAATTAAGGAGATTTACGTTCAAGAAATATGTACATGGCGCTGATAAATTTCTGTGTGCGGTAATTAATTGAAAATTTGCCTCAAAACCAGAAATAAATTTGCTAAATTAATGACAGTTAAAGTGAATATTTTTGAAATTCAAAGCAGAATAAATTATTAGTCTGTGTAGTCAATATTATTTAGAAATTGTTATTATTATGTCGGAGTTCAATTATTACCGTGGTTCCATTTTCTATGTCAAACATTTAGCAGAGCAAACAACAACTGCTTCCATACAACGACTGTACTGAGAACAATTCCTATCATACTCTCATTGTGTGCAACTTGTAACTTTCTAGCTTGCAGCTCTCTCTCGGCGCAGCTCTCTCTGTCTCTCTCGAACCAAGCAGCTTGATGCAATCTGCTGAGCAACACGCTCGCTTTATTATCTCTAGTTACCATCTCCCTTTTGATCTGGCCTTGAACATCGCCCTCCCTACGCTCTCTCTCTCTCTCTTACACTAACAACAACGCAGCTTTGAGTCAGACACTGGACAAGACGGTGCGTGCATAGCAATGGTATGGGCAGTGACCAAAAACAAACGGTAAAGTGCAAAGGAGACAACGAAAGGGAACAATTTCGTAGTGAATAACCAAGAATACACTGCAAAAAATATTAATTATTCCTAATGCGCTCTTCCAAAAATTCGTATTCCTCTTTTATTGACAATGAATCTTAAACTGTTTGCCCCTCTGCATGCCGCATTATTTATTCATTCGGCTTCCTTAAAAAGCACTACATACACATCGATTTAACCAAACAGCTGGACTCAGCAACCCTTTCCATAGAGACAAGAGCCCCAGGACCTCCGGCATGCTAAAAACTATTGAAAAACTCATTTATGGACAGCAAAAAAAGGAGCAAAACTTGAAGACTGCAATTGAGTGCGCCCTTCTCTGTCTCTATAAGAAACGGCACCCCACTTAGGATAATCTCATTGGTGGCATGCCAAAAAGTTTTCCCTCACACCCCTCACTCGCACACAGCACATAAAAATGTCACCACAAAAAAGCAAAACAACAACAAAAAAAAAAGAAAGCGGAAGGAAAAAAGAAAAACAGCAAAGCAAACAAGCAAGTGGAGAGGCTTCAACTAAAAAAGGTATTTCCTTTTAAATCAAATACAAAAATTGCTGCTGGGATTCCATTCCTCTGCTCGAAGTCCACTTCTACTTGCACCTCTCCATCTTCTCTCCCACTGTCCTTCCCAAGCTGGCTCAGTCGCCCTGGTCTTTTTACAAGTGGACACGATGGGCACTTCATTTCACTCCAAAAACATATTGAGCCGGGGCCTCTTGAGTGTGCGCCAAGAGATAAGCGCAATTATATGGCTTCAAGTGGCAGACCAGGACACGGCTGGGGCACCGCAGAGACCACGGGCAGCCACGGAGGTCGCACAGTAAACTGTATAAATTAGGAAGAAAAAAGGAACGAAACGTAACGTAACTTATGTGACACGGCCTTCATTGAGACAAATGTTGGGTCTTTAAGTGCATTTTTTTCTTGTGTTTCTTCAAGCACTTTAAACTTATATTTATATTACAGATACAACTTACACACACGTGTATTGAAAATGGATACGGTGTAGAAAAGCTGAAGTAAATTTCTCTGAACTTTGGCATCTCGCACTCGTTCTCTGGTCAAGTGCTCGTTATGGGCAATTTTTGTGTCCCAACTTCTCTTTGTGGCCTTTTGTTTCTGCCGTTCCTTCTTTTTGTTGACCGCATGCTGAGTGTGGTCTTGGCCCGTGGGCGAGCCACCCATTGTGTGTGGGCCTCATTTTGAAGTGGCTTTGTGGCCGATCTCTAAAGAGGAAACTTGTCAAGCATCGGTTTTTGGGGAAATGTTCACAAGTGACCATTGAAAAGTTTTCACGATGAAGATGTTAATATGTAAGAAATATCCTCGACTGATGTTTATTATAAGTTGCGCAAAACTTTTTGGGAAGCAATTCTGCTTCGGGTTTCTGCTTCAGAAAATGTATAATCGAAGGAAAATGTTGTGAAAGTAATGAAAAGAATTAAACAATTATTATCTGAAAATTTCTTTCTTTGCTCATATATTTATTTAATTTTTCCATGAAAAACATGCAAAGGTATCCATTTTCTATCCATCCAAGAAAATGTTCAACAACAACCCATATACATATAATGGGTAGACATGGCTCAACCGAATTATTGCAGTGGGTGAAGTAATGCCTGATTTAGCAGCTCCTCAAATCGCACACAAACACTCCCCTGTTTCCCTCTCTCTCAGCTACTCAATTTCCAAGATACTCTCAGATACTCCCACGCACAGACACCCACTGCACATTCCGTAGGGAAACCCGAGTTTTGACTCTGGTATAAAATTATGCGTGTTGCAAAATTGCCACCCCTCCATTCCCTCCATAGATAACTCCTTTTGATGAGGCTCCGTCTTTGCCAATTTGACTACCGTGTAGTCATAGATCAGAGTGTGCATTTCTGCATCCATTTTGATGGCAGTTAAGACCTTTCTTTATCCTCTCTTTTTGGCGTTGTGAAATCTATAAGGACACGTGAAGTTTTAATAATAAATAATGTACACAAAAGTTTAGAGTTCTTTCTGAATCATCGAATCCCAACAGCTACAAAATCTCTCCAAGTGTGAGTAGAGGGTGTCCCACAGTCCAGACATCGTATATGCCATTCAAGTTATTTTTTGCAGTCTTCGTTTTTCTATTTGAAGTACAAAATATTTTTCGTTTATTTGCACAACGTTCCCCATACCTTCCTACACACACAACTTTTCATCGTCCTGGCCCATTCTTCTTGTTCGTTTTTCCCTTCTTGTCGACTACTTGGCACTGGCGTCGTCTGCTGGAGCTTCTACGACTGCTCCTTCGAGCCACTGCTTTTTGGTAAGTTCTTCTCTCGGTTGGGTTTTTGCTGGATTTCTACTCGTGCTATTTTTTTTCCTTCTGTGCGTTCTGCCAGGCGGCGTCAAACGTCGGGCGGCGCCAGTCCCCCATGTGCGTGGGTGCGTATGAGTGATTCTTTTTCTCCTTCTTGCCTCCTTGGCTCATTCATTCCTTCATTCATTTTGTTCGTCTTGGGTTTGGTAAATGCTGCGAAACATAAAACATCAAATGTAAATTGAAAGTCGTTCGTGTGTGAAACTGAATGTGTCATCAGTTGGAGCGTTTATCATTTTTTTACTGCTTTTCGTATTCGTTTTTAGCTTCATCTGCCGCAGACCCAGACCCAGACCCTGGCTCAACTCCTACCCCAGAAACCCTTTTTTTTGGGGGGGGGGGGGGGGTTTGCTTTAAGAAGTTTAGATTTTATTTGCAGGGGTGTCAAGTTTCCTTTAAACGATTCTGGGGCGTTCTCGGCGGGGCTAAGTTGTTTGCCAGTCGCAGGAGAGACGGTCTGGTTGGGGCATTGACTGCGCAATGTTTTGTAAAATCTTTTATTTCCGTCTCAAAGACACGGCACATGTGCTGGCTGGGGCATCAAATGTCTCGTATTTATTGTTCGCGTTTCCTGCTTCCATGTATGTAAATATGAATCCAAATTACGTTGGGCATGAATAACTCAACAGAACCAATAATGTGAGACCGAAGTCATGAGGAAAGAGGCACTAAGTTAAGTATGCCCAAGTGGCATATTCTTATATTATTGATCCGATTGATTGGTTCAAGGGGGTTAACAATAGCGGAATTTATAAATTGTAAATAAAAACCGTCGGGTCAAAATTCATTCCATTGGCTAACTGGGCAGCGTTTTTAACGATTTTGGTACGAAGCTTTACATTTTATGGTACAAAGAATTTATTTTCTTAAAAAAACGAACAGTTCATACAATATTTAATTCCTTAATTTAATGCTATAAGCATTTAACAGCCTGGCACTTCATATACAATTCTTTTATGTTCCCCATTTATATGCAAACGCAAACGCAGAGAATATATTCCCTCAGAGAAAATGAAATAAGAGATAATAAAAATAAAATTTAGTTTGTTTTTGAGTGTAGGACAAAGTTGCTAATTCTTTACAAATTAATTGAAAATTACAAAATTAATGGGAGATTCTGTTTGTTGCTCCAAGTTCGGGTTTTCTCTGGGGTATTTTCTATGCAAATGTCAAGCTCAAACAGAACAATGGAGGGGAAAGTGCAGCTGCAACAACATTTGGGGCAACAACGACATCTGCCAGATGCCAACGAGAGCAGAGCAGAGCAGCGCTGTGGTTGCTTTCAGTCAAGTGGTTTCTGTTGTTGTTTTTCCTGGCCGGGTTGCACTAACTTCATGTCAATCCTTTTGTGGCTTTGCCAGTCGTTTAATTTGAATTTAAAATGTTATCCCGCCAAATGCAATAGAACCGCCCGCCCACCTCCCTCTCTCTGGCTAGACCCCACGCCGCTCAATCAAACTGTGTGGCACTCATTTTCCACTTATTTACAATTACCACATTTTATAATCCCCTTTGGCTCTACCCTCCCGTGCCATCGAAATTGCATTTAACATTTCCCCGTTTTATTTATACTCTCGTTTATATTTGTCACACTTTTGCTTTTGTCTTTGTTTTCTGGCGCCGTTTCCCCCGTTTTTCGTACAATTTTAACTGCATTTTAGTATGTCTGTCAAATCCCACACAGTTCCCCCACACAGTTTTCCAAAGCCCTAACCCCCGAAACCTAGCTGCCCTTCAACGGTGGGCCAGACCTTGCAGATTTTGATTGTATTTTTGTTTATTTTGTTGCAATTTTAATTACTTTAATGAAAGTTTTAATTGCGAAATAGCAAAAACGCACCGAACAAGTGAGACAGCACACGAAAAGAAAGACTCAGAGGTGGAGAGAGATAGAGAGAGAGAGAAAGCGAAGAGTGGGATGGAGAGCAAAGAAAGAGAGAGGAGACGAGTGGAACCTGTAATGAGTTTTTGCGGTCTAAGAAAGGTTGGCAGCTGCACGACAACGATGACATGAGAACACTGAAAACTGTTTTCAATGTTGCTGCTCCTGGAAAACTTCTATGCCAGGTAAACGCCAGGAACTCGGGGTAGTCGCAACAGGGACGGTGGAGCTTACAGGCAAAAGTGTACAATGAATGGCAAGGCTGATTGATCAATTTGTACAGAATCAGGAGACAATGTCACTCGGGAAATAATCAAAACAGATAATCAAACAGAAAACTGTTCACTCTTCATTTCAATGGCAATTTTAGAAACAAAAGTGAGCGGTGGACAGACAGAACAATCGTTAATTGAGGTACTTAAATATCTCAATCGATGTGGGTTGCCCCTTCAAACATATGAGAGATCACTGTAAGCTTAATGTGTATCAAAGTCACCGCAAAATAAATCACAGCAAATCACTTGGGTGGCCGAAAGTCAACATCCGTAGCTTCCTGCTCATTACTGGCAGTCGTAGTCCAAGGGGAGCTCTTTGATCCGGTCGTAATTGCAGTTGGTGGTTGCATTCAGACACACATTTGCATATATATTTATATATACTCTTACGTACTACTAGAGTAGATTGCACACACAAGATTTCCCTCTTGACCCACAAAACGAGGCAAGCAAATCGGCACAAAAATGCATGTCATACGAGCTCTCGTTTACAACTCGATTGCCAGTCACAGGCACTGGCACAGGCAACGCACTGAGGTTTGAATAAAATATGCAAACAATTGAGAAGCCACAAGGTATGAGCCGTGTCCAGTAGAGCAGAGTAATAGAAAAGAAAAATAAACCAAAATAGAAAATAGAATGGAAATCAGAGACGAAATGCTAAACTGGCCATGCCAATGATGCAGGGCATAAACGATACAAATGTATCTCCTGAAGGGCAGTGGGGAAACCTTTTCTCCACTTTGCAATACATTACATATGGCAAAATAGAATCGTTGATTCAGATGACAATTGTATCACATTTAACATATGTACATATCTTATGGTATTCCTGCTCGGGTTCAATGGAAAACTTTTACTGAATGCAGTGAAGTCTAAGAGAGAGAGATTACCGCAGACTGAAGACAACGTTTGACTTTAGCTGTTCAGTATGTGTGCTGTTTATGTAAAGAAAGAAAACATAACTTTGGAGTTACTTTAACAAGAAATTAATATCTAAGGAATTGATACTTATTTATGGCACAAAACCGACAACTTTCCCTTTGAAACGTTTACGATATTTTCAGGTTTCATTTCTGTCTCCTTTTTTATAGTTTTGCCAGAGCATCGTTAAGAGCATTCGCTGTCGGCAGTGGCCCATAAAATGCATTAATGCTTTGCATGCTGTGCCCCAAAAGTCCAAGTCAAAATATATGTAGGTATATTTAAATGTACAAGCAATTGTACATATGTACGTGCATGTATAGAGTAAGCGAAATAAAAAGAGACACGCAAAATTGCATTTTTGGCAACAAGATTTTAATTGCATTTTGTATGTGCTCATTACCTTAAATGGAGAGTAAGAGAGAGAGAGAGGGCAATGCTCCTTGCAGCTTCTGTCTCCGTCCCTTGCACACTTCTCTCCTCCGACTCTCTTTCTGGCACGATGTTTCCATCTCCTTCAGTGCTTGGCATTGGTAGCCGTTTTAATGCCAAACTTGGCAAACTTATTTGGAAAGCGACAACTTGCCACAGCAAACGAATTAAATTAAAAGCTGCGACTAGCGAATACCCTCTGCGGATATTACATTGTTATTTACTATAAATAAAATTTAATTAAGAAATCTACAAATATTTCTTTGACTTATTCTTTTAGGGCTCTAAGAAATCATTGGGTACAAAAGCAAACAAAAATTAAGTAAGAAATTAAAACCAGGCTACATTTAAACATAAACAAAACGAGAAGAATGTGAGCAAGAAAAAAAACCAAGGAGATTTCGCACACATGTGTGTGAGTGTATTCACTTACATATGTACATATGTGTGTGTGGTGGTGTGCGTGTAACCATGTGAGTGTGTCACTTTTGTTTCAAATGAGTGGCAAAGAGTGACAAAACGAAATGAGAACCAAAAGCAAAGAGAATACGAGCCAGCCTGGGCAAAAGTAAAGACCAACCCCACCCAAAAAGGGAACAAAAAAAAAAAAAACAAATCAAAAGGAGAAAGAAGATTTAACGACAAAAACAAACAAGAAGAAAACGGGAACGGGTGGAGTGGGGGCTGATGTTTATACCGCATGTGTGAGTGTGAGTGTAAATGTGCATTTTATTTAAATGAAAAATAATTAAACTGTGGATTGAAGTCTTTTTTTTTTGGGCGTAACGGAAAGACAATTAGGAAATGGTCGTTTAAGCAGAAGAGTAGGACGGGGAGTGGAAGAAGGGAAAGGAATGGAAATGGGGAATGAGTGAAATGCGTAGTTCTATCGGAGTGGAACTAAGAACCCAATGGGCTTTGCTCCACTTGGCTCTTTGCGATTATTCCTCTATCCATTCCATTTCATTCCATTATTTTCTCTGCGCATTTCGCGTTTTTCCTTGGCTGTTAATACTATTATTTTTTCATTTGTGCAGTGCAACCCACACGCGGATTAGTGTTGAAATTAAATCGATTTAATGCTCGTGTGTGGGTGGATTTGTATAAATGTGTGTGTGTGTGTGTGTTTATTTGAAACCCATTTTTTAATTAAAGTGCAGCCGTTAATTGCATTAATCACTGCACTGGCTAGGGGCGTTACTGCATGGAAACTGAATGAAAATGCGAAATGAATAGGGGAGGCAAGGCGACACTCAATAAAATAGCAATTGATTTTTGCTTTATTATTTAATGTGCTATCAAAAATCAAAGAAAGTTAGTGCAGGTATTTTGTCAGTGAATTCTAAACAGTAATTGGCATTAAAAATGTAATAACTCGTTGGTTAAATAAAACTAAAATGGAAATTAATGCAAGTATATTTATATGTGCATGGAGTGGGATTAGAAATAAATAATAAATATATATTTATAATCCAAGGATTATATTGTTTCACATTAAATATACCATTAAAACCTCAAACAAAATTCGAATTTCCTTTCAAACTTTAGATTCTGATGGCACAAATCAAATGCTCTTATAATTACAGCTCCACTGCAGTAGTCTGAGTAGCCAGACTGGACGTCACAGACAGCGGCAGATAGAAACCAAATACAATTGACATTTATTGGCCAATATATATTTATAAGGCCCGAACGGAAGTGGCCGAAACCCCGAAAGGAGACTGGAGACTGGACTGGCCATAAAAGAGAAGCAAAAATACGAGAAAATATCTATTTCAATGCTGTCGAAGCTGCATAAAAACTGTCCAACGACAGGCCAAGGGGCAGCTCCTCCTTCACGCCACATGCAAATGTCCGCAAGGAGAGCAGCGAGTGGGAAGCCAACCCATAGACAACAAACTGGGCGTGGCTGCATCTGCTGGCTGGCCGTGATCGGACTTCTCCTGCTGGTGCCTGGTAAGTGAATTATATGGAAATCATAGGGGAAGGGGACGGGGAAGGGGACAAACAATGGGGCATGGTGAATGCTAAATCTCGGCTAATTCGGATGGCACAAAGTCCCTGGGTGTAATGGGCGGACAAAAACGTTGATGAAATACTTCCAAAACTTGCCCAAAGCCTCAAAATATAAATGACACTGGCAGCCTTGTCCTCGTCCCCACTCTTAGATGAGTGCCCGAACTTGGCGATAATTAATTTTTAAGCCGCGCAAAATGAAGCGCGGACAAGTGGCTGGCACGGAACGGGTGGGACAACGGAAGGGAAAATCAATCGTTCGTAAAATAAACAAATCTTATTTTTCCGCAAACATTATTTCTCATCAGCGGAGTGAAGCGAGGCGGGTGGAGACATCACCAATAATGGCAGCAGAGCGCATTGATGACAACAACATTTTTTCATAAATGCGCTCATTCATCTGCATGAAACGATGACCAGGGCGGGGGGTTCCTTGATTCCAAGGAAGTCGTTGAATAACGCGAGGGTTGCTCAGGGAATACACAAGTCCCCCAACTAGAGCTCACCTAAACATGATATTTAGTTGCCCAAAAACTGATTGACAAACCCTCGCCCCACCACTCAACAGACTCGAATCATTGCGCTTTCCAGCCACACCGCTCCAAGGCCACTATTCCACCCAAAACGAAGCCAAAATGATGATGTTGCAAAAGAAACTACGATACTAAATATCCCTCCAATGCTTCAGACTGCCATTTTTGCTTTCCCATTCCTTCAAGTGACTCTGTCTGCTTTTTGCCTTTGTTTTGGCCCTGGCCAAGAGGCGCGAGCGGGACAATGTGCAAACAAGCAAAGCGAAAAGGCAACTTGACTGAGGGTAGTGGATATTTATGTATATGTATATATATACCCGATGTATAAACAACGAAAGCAATTGCTGCCTAGAGACAGAGAATATTTCATAATTTTTTGCGTGATAAAGTCGCATTTTCTGGGATTAAATGAGATTTTCTTGCAATTACCGAATGCGTGGGCTGGCGCAGAACTTTTATATTTATTTATTTTGCTCTTCTCTTCTTTGCCATCGGGATAGCTAGCTGTCTGTGCCATATAGTAATTTGTTCTGCAATCCCCGAGTACTCATCGAAATTACAATTTCTGTCGGTTAGCAGCTTAGCCGAAAAGCATTCTTGTTCATATTGATTTGGTTTGGAAACTTTGCTACTGGGCTGCGGCATCGTAATGGGAATGGCAATGGGAATGGGAATGGGAATATCATGAGAATTGGAATTGGAAGAGTTTCGGGGGGATGAAAAGAAAAAGTTGCCTTTTCAATTTGGCCACACAATGCGATCGATACTTTCTAATTTATGCTAAACACAAACAATGCAGATGTACAGGGGCAGAGAAAGTGCTCTCTTCCTGACCAACCGAACAATAAGCAATCCAATGCCTCACATGTGGGTTGGGGTCTAATACTCATTCAAAGCGCAGCTCATCCTCCCGCAAAGAGGAAACTTTTGCATCTAACTTCAGCCTAGAACCGAAAAACATGCAACATGTTGTGTTGGCGCCCTCTGCTCTCCTGGCAAAACAAAAGCAGAAATTGGCTATATCCTTCAATGCAGGCTGCTGCCTGGAAAAAGTTTGTTCTTCAATCACAATGGCTGGTAGCAGCAGCAGCCCTGCCCGAGATGCGTTTTCAATTTTCCCGAATGCGCAAAAGTCAGTTAGCCTTCTCGACTGCATCTTCTCTATCATCACAATCATCATCAGCATCATCATCATCATCATCATGTTCTTAACCCACATCACACATACGCCCTGGTGGTGTGCTAAGAGCTTTACATGCCTGATGCTGCTACCCAGAGCTTCAGTTAAGCATCTTCCCTACTCACACACACACACACACACACTCTTTCTCGCTCAGACACACACGTAACTCCCTTCCCTTAGCACACACTTCACTTTGCATATCACATGAACTTGCACTTTGCAATTTTTCCCTCTTTTTTTTGGGCCAAGACAGGTGGGATGTGGGTGCTAGTGGGGTGGGCTGGGGCTGGGGCTGGGGCGGGTGTGGAACCTTCTTTGTCTAGCAGACATTTACCGTTTACTGTTTTGACATTCCAACTCGGCTGCAATGCAGGCAGGCGAGTGACGTGCCTTTTGTCAGCATCCAACCATTGTGTGAGGAGTGCGGTTGATGTCAGTCAGTTTGTCGAAATTCCCATGTAATGGGCCACTCTAAGCCTGGTGAGAAAGTGAGATAGACGCATCGACGCATAGACAGAGACAGGGAGCAGCAGAGAGCGAGAGGTTGGTATACCAGCAGAAAATATTCTTTTATAAGCTAGTAGCTAATATGGTTGAACTGGGTAAAGGGTTTGGTTTCCCTTGCCGCCAGAGCTTAATGGCAAGGAGTGTGCTAAGAATGAAACCAAATGTGAAATTAACTTTGAGAAGCCATGACTTGAGTTTGATTTCAAGCTACCTTACAGAACACATAATCAAGATCGAGACGAGTCTCACAGCTATGTAATTAAAGTGATTGAATAGAAATATATTTTAGGGATTTTTGTAAATATATTTTAATTCAACTCCACACTGTGCATTCCTAGATCAGTCTCCAGAGTCCATAAAAGCTTCAATAGAATTACTCTATGTGTTAACATAGCCTTAGACATAAATTAAATACTTGTAGAATATTAAACATAATTTTTAAAGTTACTAAAGCACTCAACTCCATGCTCCCATGGGAGCTTTGATTAGGTAACTGACTTAATGTCCCTAAAATATCTTACTTATAATTCATTTGTAAACATACGGAATAAAATATAATAATCCAATTTTCAAAAAATGCACTTTAATATCCATTACATTCGTACGAATTCAATCATAATGCCTGCAGGTCTGCTATCAAAATTAAATCCACCGCAATTGGATAGCAGATCTCTCGTACACAATTGAAAATTAATATGCCAGCTCTCGTTTTGTAATCCCATAATATGTATCAACTATTAAGTGGCCTAGGCACGTCACAGCACGCTGAGCTGCACTTAAGAGCGTTTTATTAAAAAGGCAAAATCAGAAAAACAATTTACGAAATTTGCATTTCATATTGCTGCATATTCGTGCAGCAAGTGAGGAAAAATTACCTTCAAATTAAGTTTTTATATATGTGCATGTGTATGTGCAGGCTGTGAAGGGATAAAGGCTTATAAAATATTCTCAAAAATATGTGAAAAACTGGCTTAAAATCGCATACAAACTGCCAGAGAGACCAAAAACTGTAATAACATAAAAAAATAGTTGACAACAACGCCAGCAGAAAGTACAATGAAACAGCAACAAGATGGTCAATGTACCCGTATAAATGTATTGCAAATTGTATGCTATCCTTTCATACACTTTCAGAGGATATTTGAGACTTGATGCAGGTGTTTCTAGAGCAGAAAACATAATATTTTCGAACCGGATTAGGTTATATTAATGACAGATCTTCTTGAACTGTCCCTTAAATCCTCAGTTGCCACTCATTTTGCAGCCAATTATGGAAGGACTAAAAGATTCTCCCACTATCGTATCTAAATATCACACGGCACACATAATCCTTATGGAAGGATTGAAAGTATTTGACGAAATATTTATATAATAATATAAAGGGTATCTGACAGTTGCTTCACCGAAACTCTGCTTCATATTTTTCTTTTTTTTGGCTATGAAATATGAGTCAAGTTTTCAATGCATGCCGGATGCATTCATTATACCGCTGACGAGACTTACCGAGAGTAAGAGAGAGAGAGAGAGAGAGAGAGAGAGAGAGAGTGCGACAGGGAGTAGCACACATGCATGCCATTATGCATTCTCATGTGTGTTTGTGTGAGGCAGATTTTCTTTGAGTTTTTTTGTTTCTGTGCACATATATGACAAATGCATTGCACTCTCAAAACGCACATACACCCACGGATACAGTCACAATCTTTATGATCTCATGCATATGTATGCGTTTATAAATGCCACTATACGGAGACAGATACAGATAGTCAAAAAGAGAGAGAGAGAGAGAGAGAGCGAGACAGAAATGGAGCTACCATTACTTTAAACCAAAATGGCGGTCGCTTTTGTGTTGGTCGATACAAATCCTGTGGACCAAACATCCTGGCGAAATGTATATTTTATGTAGTGAAAACTTTTCGCTCGGCCAGTAACAAATTTAACAATATTAAAAATAAATACCAAAAAAGATTAAAACAAATTTAAGTTAACCGCCTCGTCTAGCAAATGCCCAATACTAAAGGGATTTGATCAAAGTTTAAACAGAAAATTAATACGCTTAGTTCTGTGCCTTCGATATAGAGATATAAGAAGGGAATCTGTCTCTCTAAATTACATATTTTCCTCAGTTCTTGTGACCCTTTTGAAATTATACCAAATTAACTTTGAAACAGAATTACGCATGCCATCAGGTGCACAGTCCAAACAAATTGATTGTGATCCCTTTTTGATTTCTGGAAATTAAATGAGATTTTCCCATGAAACAAATAGTAACCCATTCATTCAGGGATTGCAATAAAATAATGCATTGCATACTCTCAGCGTTGGCAGAGGCGGAAAGGGAAGTGAAGAAAGAGGAGAGGAGACAAAAAGCGTGCAGAGAAAAAGTCGCCGAGAATGCCAAGTCACGAAAGGAGAGAGGGCACTTTGCGAAAAGGCGTTTGCTAATTTTCTAAGACATCAATTCGAGGGGAGCGATGGAAGTACGTGTGACAATGTCTGTCTCTGGCTCGGGCTCGGGCTCTGGCTCTGTCGCTGGCCTTCCGCCACCCCCAATCGAGGCGCTTTTTTTGCGCTGATTTTAGCACGCACACATTTTGCATACTGATCAGCAATCAGTGGCAACAATTCAGGGAGTTTTTCGGGGGCATTGGGGCGACCTATGTAGGAAGTGTCGAGTTCAAATTAAAATTCCACTTTGGCATTTGGGGAATTCAATTATT